GCCGTCACCACAGCCCTTTATTTCACCTCCCCAGCGCCAATCCAGACCTGAAGGCGACGCCCTGTGAACAATTCGCCCGAAAGCCCACCGCTCTAACCGGGGCCTACTGCTGCGCTCGGTGCCCAGCGGAGGAGGGAAGGGCCGCGGCCAGGCCGTTTCCAATCCAGAGCTGCTCAGCACGGCGCGCCCACCAGACCTGGGAGCGGCCCAAGGGGCGGCTTGCTCTCGGACCGAGCCTTTCGCTACAAAATAGCAGCTCCGGGGCTTCCCCCGAAGGTCAGCGGGGAGTCCAGGCCGCGAGCACAGCCAACGGGCGCCCGCGGGCAACCTCCGGCCAGCGCCGCAGTCTCACCCCCGGGAAGCCGAGTCCGGGGCCCCCGCCCCCCATCCCCGGGAAGCCGAGTCCGGGGCCCCCGCCCCCAGAGCCCGGCCCCCGCCTCCCATCCCCGGGAAGCCGAGTCCGGGGCCCCCGCCCCCAGAGCCCGGCCCCCATCCCCTGGAAGCCGAGTCCGGGGCCCCCGTCCCCAGAGCCCGGCCCCCGCCTCCCATCCCCGGGAAGCCGAGTCCGGGCCGACGCCCCCAGAGCCCGGGAAGCCGAGCCCGGAGCCCCCGCCCCCAGAGCCCGGCCCCCATCCCCGGGAAGCAGAGTCCGGGCCCCCGCCCCCAGAGCCCGGAGCCCCCGCCCCCAGAGCCCGGCCCCCGCCTCCCATCCCCGGGAAGCCGAGTCTGAGGCCCCCGCCTCCCATCCCCGGGAAGCCGAGTCCGGGGCCCCCGCCCCCCATCCCCGGGAAGCCGAGTCCGGGGCCCCCGCCCCCAGAGCCCGGCCCCGCCCCGGGAAACCGAGCCCGGCCCCCATCCCCGGGAAGCAGAGTCTAGGCCGACGCCCCCAGAGCCCGACCTCATCCCCGGGAAGTCGAGTCCGGGGCCCCCGCCCCCCATCCCCGGGAAGCCGAGTCCGGGCCGACGCCCCCAGAGCCCGGCCCCCATCCCCGGGAAGCCGAGCCCGGCCCCCATCCCCGGGAAGCCGAGTCCGGGCCGACGCCTCTAGAGCGCCCCACGCGCCCAGGCTCGGCGAGACGGCTCCACCTCAAGGCCGCTTCCCGGAAGGGAACGATCGGGTGAGAAACCATCGGGGCCCCGCCTCCTCCCGCCCGGATCCCAGCCCAGCAGCTCCCGCCCGCCGGGGCCGCCTTCCCGCCCGCCGGGGCCGCCTTCCCGCCCGCGAGGCCCGCGCGACGCTACGCGCCGGGCCGGAAGCCAGCTCGAGGCTCCGCCGGCGGGACGGCCGCGAGGACAGTGGCTGTCCCCCCCCCACACTCTCTGCGCATGTTCAGCGTCGCGGTCCCGCACGGCGTTGGTGTACTGCGCCGCCTGCTCGATCAGCTCCGCCGTCAGCTTCACCATGCTGCCGCCGCCAGCCGCCCCGCGCCGCCGCCGCCCCCGCCTGCCGCTGCCGCCGCGCGCGGAGCACACGTCCCGGCATGCCCCGCGCCGCCGCCAGGCCGCACCAATCGCAGATCGACCGCCAGCCCGAAGCAATCGAAGAGCCACGCCTCCCCGGGAGGTCGTCTCGGCCGGCGCTCCGTGCTGGCGTTGGGGACGGGCCGGGCGCGGGGTTCTCCGCCCGGGGCTTTCTGGAGTCGGGTCGGGTGGGGTGGGGTGGGGGTGGGGGGCCCCGCTTCTAGACGTCTGGGTCCGAAAGTTAGGAAAACCGGGGGAAGAGCCCCGCGGACCTCTCTCACACTAGGGCATCGCGCAGTGGGAGCGAGGGTGTGCGTGGCCGCTTGGCGCCGGCGGGGCCGGCCCCGGGAGTCAAGCCCGGGTCTGGTGGGGTTGCGGTAGGCCCGCGGGGGTCTCCCGACCTTGAGAGACTGGAAGCGTGCGTCCTGCAGCCTGCCCCGTGACGCGCGTGGCCGCCGCCGCCCTCTCCCCGCAGGCTCGGCCCGCGCCTGCAGCTCTAGATATTTGTAGTTTTTTGGATGGTACTGTAAAGGCCATTTACAGAAATTCCATTTTTAACTAACTTTTTTTTATATATATAAAAAGATTTATTTATTTGAGAGAGTCACCGAGACAGCATGAGACCTCCCATCCACTGGGTCACTCCCCAAGTGTCGGCAACGGCTGGGGCTGGTCCCATCGGAGCCAGGAGCTCCATCCAGGTCTCCCACGCGGGTGCAGGGGCCCAGGCACTGGGCCATCTTCCACTGCTTTCCCAGGCCAGAGCAGAGAGCTGGGTCGGAAGTGGAGCAGCCGGGGCTTCAGACAGCGGCTCTACCTGCTACGCCACAGTGCCAGACCCTATCTTTTTGTTCGTTTTGTTAAGATTTATTTATTTGAAAGGGAGAGACAGAGAAGGAGAGAATCTTCCATCCACTGATTCACTCCCCAAATGGCCAGAACGGCTGGGGATGGCCCAGGCCCGAGCCAGGAGCCAGGAGCTTCTTCCAGGACTCCCCCACTGGTGCAGGGAACAAGCTCTTGGCCCATCCTCTGCTGCTCTCCCAGGTGCGTTAGCAGGGAGCTGGATCGGAAGTGGAGCAGCTGGGACTCCAACCAGAGCCCACATGGGATGCAGGCGGCAGTGAAACCCACGGGACACAGCCAGCCCCTTGTATTTTACTTGCTCTTTCTTTGGCTTTTTCTTTTTGGATCCCTGTTCACACTGGCTGGGACCTGCAGCACGGCATGGAGCAGTGGTGACAGTGGACCCTCTTTGGCAGGCACCGTTTCTCAGCCAACCAAGGGGAAAGGCCCTAATCAGGCGATCGAGGGTAATGTCGCCAGGCACAGAACAAAACACAGTCGGGTAGCCCCTGCTAGGATGCCGTGAGGAGGACACAGCCACTTCCTGTGAGATTCCTGAGTCGAAACACAAGGGAACCTGACAAATCCGAATGGAGGGACTGCCCGCACACCTGGCCCCTAGCCTTGGACGCCTCCAGGTGGTGGGAGTCAAGGATCAGCGAGGGAAGGACCTTAAAGGTTCAGGGTGACTCAGTGCAACGTGTTTCCTCCCCGCAGCGTTGGCAGGGAATCACTGGGCCAAGGGTGGATGGCGGGAACACCATCTGATGGTGTCGGGGACCTTTATTTATAGGAAGCGCCCACTGAGTGTTCAGGCTCATGGGGTGTCATGTCAATGATATCGACTCAAACTGTTCAGGAAAAAGAATGTGTGCTATACTTGCAATCTTTTTATAATCTTGACTTGTGATTGTTAAAAAAAAAATAGTTCAGAGTATCCAAACTTCACTTCTAGAAAGAACCGCCAGATGGCGCTGCAGGCCACAGAGCTATTTTATTTAGCTTTTCCCCTGGTGGGTTATTTCACGTGTCTCCCTTGCTTCAGCACCCTGACAGGGGCTGAAATGAAACCATGGGTGGTTTTGTTCAGTTTCGGTATCTCTTATGAAGTTGCAAACTGAATTTTTCTTTCTGATCCATTTCTTCTGGCCAGTTTCTCAGCCTCAGCAGACTGGCGTTCCAGGCCGTCGCGTGCGTCAGCAGCAGTCTGGGAGGACAAGGATGCACATATGGGGGCCACGGGGAGGTGCCAAAGCCTCTGGGGACAAGGTCAGAAAAGCATCACCCTCTGGAACTAAAGCCAGTTTAACAGGAACACATGGTGGCTGCCACTGGCCCCGTGCAGAACCGGCTCCTGTAGCAAGCCCAGGAGGGGAGCAACCTGGCCTGTGTAGCCCAAGGCAAGCCGCGGGGCCTCCGTGAGCCAGGGTCCTGTCTGGGAAGGAATAGATCTAGGTGGTGCCCGGTCCTGACCCTTAAAATCCGTAGGCACACGCTGCCCAGCCGAGCCCTATCCCTGCCAGTCACAACAGCCCCTGTCTGTGGTCAGTCCGTCTAAACAAGGGGGTGTCCACTGTTTGGGCTTTGAGGGCAGTCATTCAGCCCAGGGCAGATTGGTCCAGCCATGGCGAAACGTTGCTCCCGAGATGGCCGTCTGGGGGCTTCTTGTAGTTGTTGCCATCTGGGACAAAAGGGGAGGTCACGTCTGACTCAGCGCCACACATGCTGGGCTGCGAGCACTCAGGGGGCAAAGCGCTCCTGTTTATCCTCGTCCGGGTCTTAGATGGTGAAGTGGTGCCCTGTGCTGGGGTCCTTAACAAGCTGCTGGGCTTTATTTCATCAGTCTCCTGGGGGAGGCTGACCCCTTCTGGCTGTTGCTCTGTCTGGGCTGCGGCACCCCGGACATGCTCACTCTCCCCTCCCTGCTCACGGTGCTGCTGGTAGACGGCTGGTGGGGCATCCGCTGACCTCTCTGCTGGTGCAGGCGTCCCTGCAGCCACATTCGGCTGCACAAGCCCAGCTACGGCGCCAGGGGAGCACCGACACAGGCAGGCTAACCGGAGTTAGCCCCGGGGGGAAGAAAGCAAGGCACAGCCAGAGCCATGAGGTCGGTGCAAGGGGTGAGGCTGGTGCCAGTTCCATGCGGGAGAGTGGTGGTCTTGTCACTCGTGTCATCACCCGCAGGTGCAGGCTATGCCAAGTGAGAAGGGCCTGCTGCAGGGCCAAGGGGGTCCAGGTGAGATTCACTGCTGGCCCCACCGCCCCTCCCCGGATCCCCAGAACAATGCCCCCCAGCCACCTCAGCAGTCCTAATTGGTGCGCTTCCTTTAGGCGCAAAGGATTTTGAGCTTCTAACCTCGCAGAGAGGCAGCCCGTGGCCCAAACAGCAGCACCTAACCCACGGGGGCAGGGGCTTCAAGCACTGTGCAGACGGCAGGCCGTGACCTGACCAATGACGCTTGGTGGCTACGGTGACAGGCTCACGGTTTGGGCCGTGGGCAGTGGCCCCGTCTCTGGGGATGGTCTAGCCCCTTCTTCCAAACTCTTCTTTGCCAAACTCGTGCCGGAACTCTGGGTTCTCCCGTTACTTTATTACATCAACACTTGCTACAACTCAGAAGACCTTCAGCGTAATGACATCAAATAAAGCCATGTCCACTTTACCTTTCTATGTGAGGGAAGAAACAGGCTCCTTTGCCACGGATGTTAACTCTTTTATTAATTTAAGGTTAACACTGTATTTGCTTTGTTGATTTCTGTTCCGGAGTTGTGGATTCAATGAACCACAGCTGGAATCCCCCCTCCCCAGCTCACAGGTGACGAGGCAAATGCACTGTGGTCCAAGGGGGAGCAGGACGAGACGGAGAAAGACGAGGCCGAAAAAATTTAAGGCAAATGTTACTCCCCTATTCAAGGGAACTGATCGAGCAGATCTGTGCATTTCAATGAAAATATATGAAATATTTGTCAAAATAATTAACATCGGTAAAAATTAGGACATGTAGCTTATAAAATGCCTACATAGGTTTGGCAGCAATAAAGCCAACCGGGTCACGTAGGCAGGTAATAGACAAAGACACAGGTGCGCCCACCTTGACAACGAGTCTCCTAGGAGCAGCCAAAGGTGTTTTAAAAACGAGCCCATAAAACAGGAAGTGACGGATGACTGACAACTGAGGGGCTGCCTTGGCGTTTCGCCAAGAGGAATGGCGCGGTCGGGGCACCTGCTGGCTGGCCCCGGCTGCCTCCTTTGGCTCCTCCTCGGAAGGCTCTGCACCAGGGACAGGTGGTTGTCCAGGGCCACGAGACTCCCAGAGGCACCGGGAGAACGCGGGGAGAACACTGCAGACTGGAACCATCTCCTGATCCACGTGTGCAATTGGACTCTAAGCCACGGCCGCGGTTTCTGAAGGAGCTGACTGTGCAGAAAGACACACGCCATCTCCAGTGGTCACAGATTTTATGCCCCCAAACCAATTTTATTTACAGTCTGACCAAACCGCCCCCAGGCTCAGCAGCAGGTGTGGAGCAGTGCCCACGGGCAGCCAGGGCTCTGCGGTTGCTGGCCGGACAGCTCACCACCAAGCCGCACGGAAGCCCACGCGGGACAGGACGACCTGTGAGGCCGGGCATCTTTTCGTTCTGCTTTGGTCTTGAAGGTTCGGTAAACAGGATCCCAGAAGTGGCTGCAGAGTAGCCGGAGCTGTTTATTCCTGGAATTCCTTCTGTTCCCGTTCCGAGCTGGCCAGAAGGGGAGCCGGGAGGACACAGCCCTCCTTGAGCACCGCCGCCCACCTGATCTGGGTGCCCAGTGACGCTGCAAAGACCCGGCTCCTGGGGAGATAAAGCTGTGAGGGCAGGGCGCCGCCTTGCCACAGGCTCTGGCCGACAGTCTGGAGGAGGGTGGACGGACAGACGGCTGGCCGGCCGGGGGCCCACCCTCTGCGGCAGCCAGCACCCCCTAGCCGGCCAGGAGGCACGTGCGGCAGCAGAACTGAATGAAAAGCTTCCGCTCACACAGCCGGTTGGACTTCACCATCTCACAGAAGGTCTCGTCGGCTGGGACCCGGGAAAGGAAAGGAGGGAGAGGTCAGACGCTGGGGCTGTAATGGTTTCCACCGCTGCATGTTTGCTGGGCACCCAGGACCCACCAGGCAGGGGGACGCAGAGGGAGGCAGGCGGCCGCTTCGAGGCTCCCCTCCCATGATGCACTTGGCTGTGTGAGCCCAGCGTGGCGGCGGTGGCGCCTGGGGTAGAGGGGCTCTTGCCAAGTCTGGGGACTCACACGGACACATCTGGGGGATGGCGCAGGCTGGGCCAGAGGGGCCCTCGATGCACAGGTACATGCACCAGTCATTCAGGACAACCGCGCTGGGGGAGGCTAGGGAGAAGACTGTAGGGACGGGCATGGAGGCTGCAGCCACAGTCCAGGGGACACCCCAAATGGCGAAGGGGATGGGAGGAAGACAGCCATTAAGGCAGACGGACAAGGCTCAGTGACTAAAAACACCGTGGCTGAGGCAAAGAGGCGGGCCCTGGGCCGCTGGTTTTTGAGGATGCCGCGCCATTCACGGAGCTCGGAGTCCCTCTGGGGCCCCCCTTTCCTAGGCTGCATGCATAGCCTCAGCAGGTGACTTCCTCGCCAGGACGCTGCCTGGCCTTGCAGGGACACGATTCTGCAAGCCAGAATAAAAAGCCAGCAAGGCACGGAGGCCACCGCTGGGTCTGCGGGGCAGCCCCAAGGATCTCTGTGGGCTCCGTGCTCTGCCAGAGGAGAGGAGGGCAGTGGCAGCTCATGCCCTCGGATGCTGTGGCACAGCAGGGGTGGTGCCCAGCACTGGCCCCAGGCAGCCCCTCCCTGCTGCTGGCTGAGCCAGGATCCTCCACCTGGCCTGCAGGCCAGGTCCCTGCTCAGACCCTCCAGCTGGGCACCGTCTGTGGTCCCCTTCTGAGTTTGTTTATAACTAGCCTTGTCCCCCAGACTCCTGGAGAAGCAGGCCTCCCTGGGGACAGGGCTGAGCAGGGCCTGGACTCCGGGCTCTGTCCCCCCAGTCCCGGGGAGATGACACCCCGGGTCTCTGGCTGTGACTTCCGAGGCTGGGCCTCCTCTGGGGAAGCTGCCACACCCGGCCACACCTATGGCCTGTGGCACACGAGGGGACAGGACAAGAACAGACTACTCTGTAAGGGTCACTCAATAAACTAAGCAGCTCTGGCTGGGCTGGCGGTCAGATGCCTCAGGTCCGTGTAAGAGAGGCCTGCAGGGGAGTTAGGAAAGAGGGCAGCTGTCTTTCACAGTAGCCAGAGGCGCCGCGACGGGTGACAGGACCAGGTGCGTGCATGCCCGGGGCGTCCCTCCTCTTTCGACCCTGGGCCCGGCACCCTGGGGCCCGGCACCCTGGGGCCTCACCGTTGCTGCACGTGTGGTTGCTGATGCAGGAGCTCCCCAGCTGCGTGAAGCCGGCCTTGCACCTGCTGCAGTTCCTGCTGGAGCCCGCGCAGCTCAAGCAGTTCTCGTCACACCTGCGGGAAGAGGCGGCTCCTGCTGGCGTCTGGGGAAGAGGCCCCCACCCAGGCTTCCCCCAAAGCCCGCCTGCCCTCACTGGACCCTCTGTAACATGGGCCCAGTGTCTGCAGGTCCCTCCCACTGTGTGACCTCACCATGGGCCAGGAAGGGCCCGTGGCAAGAGCAAGGCTGAGAGCGGAGGCCAGGCCTGGGTCAGAGACTCCCTGTGGGTCAGCTGGAGGCCCCGAGAGCACTGGCGCTCGCCCCCCGCGTGACTCCCATGGCCTCTCCAGCAGCCGCCTGCTGCGACACCTGTGGGCTGTGGCCGGACTCCGCTCTGGAACGTGACCGGTGACGCCACTGCTGCCCCACTGAGCTTCCTCTGGAGCCACACGGGCCTACCATGCAGGGAAGGGCAGGGGCGGTGCCCTTCTCCTTCCCACCCCGCCTCCCTGCCCAGAGCCAGGCCCGAGGATTTTTCTGGGACCCAGGGCACGCTCATGCTCAGCCTTGTCACGTGGGGTGGCTGGGGCGCTGTGGGGCAAGTGGAGCCGCTGTGACAGAGACAAGGTGGAGCCTGACAGAAACACTGGGCCCTCGGCCGAGACTTGCAGGTTTCCTCCCACACTCCCACAGCCCCGTGCACACCGCGCTGGACCTGCTGCCTTGGCTGAGTTCAGCACCGGGGACTCGGGCTCCACAGTGCTCCTGCATGCTGCCCGCCTTCCCTGCTGCGGCCAGCAGGGGGCACAACCGGCACCACGGGTGGAGCTCTGAGAAGGGAGGCAGGGCTTGTGCCTCCGCTGTGTGAGGCTCGCAGCCAGCGATGAGCCTCTGGGCCCCGCTTCCAAAGCTGGCTCTGATCGAAAGACTGAGCTGGCCTCTCCAGGCCCCCCCCCCCCCAACATCCCCAGCCAGGATGCAGCGGGTTTTCGCTTGCAGTCTTGTAAATGTGGAAATCCCAGGGGACAACCTGTGTCTGGGAGCCTTTGCAACTTCTTCCTCCTGCAGCGAGAGCCTGCTGCCAGCCCCGCCAGGCTGCCCGGAGGGGAGGCCAGGGTCCGGGGACTCACCAGGGGTGGCTGGGGGACCCTGTCCTCATGCTCTTTTCGGGAGCACTGGGGCCCCCAACACGCTGCCCCTTCACCTTGCGGGGGCCCAGCCACAGGGGGAGACATTCCCCCAGGGGCCCCCCCAGGGTCTCTCCCAGATGGTGCCCAGCAGTGAGATGGGAGCTGGGCTGGTGAGCCACGCAGCAGGCCCTCAGTCACCTGGGACGCACTGTAACCACGGACGACACTGTGGAGGAGCTGTGTGGTCTCGGTAGGATATGGCTTACTGTCCAACAGTTCATGGAACATGTAAACAGGATGCATTTTGGTGCAAAGAAATGTAATCCATGCACAGAACGGGAGGGCGGTGGAGGATGGCCCAGGTGCTTGGGCCCTGCACCCGCCACCGTGGGAGCCCAGGAGGAACACCTGGCTCCTGGCTTCGGATAGGCGCAGTGCTGGCTGTAGCGGCCATTTTGGGGGGTGAACCAACAGAAGAAAGACCTTTCTCTCTGTCTCTAACTCTGCCTGAAAAAAAAAAAAAAAAAAAAAAAAAAAAAAAAAAAAAAGAAGGGGTCTTCAAAAAGTTCCTGGACAATGCATATCATGAAGAAACTACGCATGGATTTCAAAAAATTTTTTAAAGATGTATTTATTTAAAAGTTGGAGTTACAGAGAGAGCGAGCGAGCGAGCGCATGCCAGTCCATCTACTGGCTCACTCCCCAAATGGCTGCAACAGCCAGGGCTGGGCCAGGCCAAGGCAGGAGCCCGGAACTCATCGGGTCTCCCATGTGAGTGGCAGGCGTCCAAGCATTGGGGCCTTCATCTGCTGCTCTCCCAGGTTCTCTAGCAGGGAGCTGGACAGAAAGGGCAGCAGCCAGGACTTGACCTGGTGCTCATATGGGATGCCGGCATGGCATGGATTTCAAAATTTTTTGCACCAAAGTAGAGTTATCTCTTAGCTCCATTTTCTGTAGACTTTTTTTTTTAATTTTTTAATTTTTTTATTTTTGACAGGCAGAGTGGACAGTGAGAGAGAGAGACAGAGAGAAAGGTCTTCCTTTTGCCGTTGGTTCACCCTCCAATGGCCGCTGCGGCCGGCGCGCTGCGGCCGGTGCATCGCGCTGATCCAAAGCCAGGAGCCAGGTGCTTCTCCTGGTCTCCCATGGGGTGCAGGGCCCAAGCACTTGGGCCATCCTCCACTGCACTCCCGGGCCACAGCAGAGAGGTGGCCTGGAAGAGGGGCAACCGGGACAGAATCTGGCGCCCCAACCAGGATTACAACCCGGCGTGCTGGAGCCGCAGGTGGAGGATTAGCCTAGTGAGCCACAGCGCTGGCCTTCTGTAGACTTTTGAAGTTGTGTAGTGCAAGCTCCCAGAGCTTAGTGGGGCGGCAGGTGTCCTGATTTTCTATTGCCGTAAACAAATGGCCACAAACACAGCAGCTTCCAACATCTGTCCCGGGCTCCCGCTTGTGTAGCAGAGGTCCAGGTGGGCGCAGCGAGCTGTCAGCTCGGGGTCTCACAGGGCCCGGGTGGCGGCTGGCCTGAGTGCTCATCTGGAGGCTGGGGGAGAGACCCCAGGGTCCTGGCTCCCCGGGAGAGGGATGATATCCCCCCGTAGATCCCCAGCTGCCTGGGGCTCCCGCTGCCTTCTGTCTGGGTCGTAGGCTGGCAGGGGCTCCCGAGATGCCTCTGGTTCTGCCACTTCTCCTGCACCTCCCTCACCCCAGGACATCGTGGCTGCCGTGCCCTGCCCAATTTGCGAAGGGCGGCTGTGTGCACTGCAGTGGGGCCACCTGCCCTTGGGCTGATCCAGGTGAGAGCCAGACACAGGGAGCCCCGGATCACAGGCTGTGTGGGCTTCAGGAACCCTCAGCTCGCTCCAGTCAGGGTGCAGAATGAGGCAGCAGGTGTGCTCCCCAGGGATTCTGGCCCCCCTGAGCATGGAGAGAGTGGGGCGGGATGGGGGGAGGCTGGGGCCTGAGCAGTGAGGCCAGCACCGCACAGTCACTCATTTCTCCCATGTCACCCCGGCTCGCTCTTGCAGTCACCTTCTAAGTCTTAGGGGTTCCTGCTCCTCCCCCGAGATACTGCACAGGGACTCTTCTCTGCCCAAGGCCTCAGATCCACCTGCCTTCTGCACTCCAGGCTGCTGACACAGCAGGCCTACGTGCCGGCCAGGTGCTTCCTCAGAGCTGCCAGCCTGTCTCGGGGACAGACACAGCGTCAGCCAGCATCCTAGGGCCTCTCTACCTGCGTCGGGAGAGATGCCGTGGAACCAAGCAGACCAGGCCCTTGTCATCGGGACAAGTGCACGCTGATCGTCTGTAGGGCCAGGGGACTCTGAATGACGGAAGCTTCCTGAAACACAGATGTGTCCTCCCTGTGGCGGTGGGCTGGGCTTTTCCTAGTGCTGTTTGGCCGCAGCACTGGAGCCTCCTCCAGGCTGAAGGCTTCCCCTACGTGGAAGCGAGTACCCAGGAAATGCCTGGCCGCTAATGCCCACGGAAGCGCTTATGGAGGCCAGCTACCTCCTGCTTCCCTCCTGGGGACACCACAGCTGTTGGGTGCCTGTGGGATTCCAGCTGCCATAGCTGTGGCATCCCCGAGAATCCAGGCATTTGCCATATGAGAATGACGATCTTGGTCTCTGAGTTCTCCCTTAATTCCGCACGGACCAGCAGGCTGGTTAGAATGAAAGGCTTCCTTCAGACGACTGTGCACGGGGCCCTGGGCAGGACTCTGCGAGCTGGCGCAGGGAGCAGGACGCCCCTGACCTGGCACAGGCACGTGTCCCCGACCCTCTCTGTGGGTGGCCTGAGAACAAGGACTCGGCGGCTCCTTGCTGGCTGCTGCAGGGCTGTGTTGCAGTTTTCTGTTCTGATTGTTTTAAGGAGACGGGTGCCAATCACTCGTTCTCAGAGCCAGCCTGGGCGGAGTCTATCTGCCAACGCTCAAAGGGTCGCCTCCCAGGGTGCCGGGGCTTTGAGCCTGTTTCACATAGAAGCCCCCTCGCTGGCTGCCCGCCCACCTTTGTGTCGTCTCTGTCTCGGTCACCCTGCTGCTCTTACCCTAACAAAGTCCTGGCACAATTTCCATGCAAGACAAGAGGGACCCAAAAGGAGTGGCTTCTTTCCTAACAGCAAGAGGGAACATGACACGGCCAGTCCAGGACACTGGACGGTGCGGGCGCACAGGGAGCAGTGGCCCAGGGCAGGCGAGGGTGCAGACGCCTGTGTGTGGGCTGCGGGGGCTGGGGTGGGGAGTGGCCGGGATCTTGGCACGTCCCCTGAAGACTTACATTCTTCACAGACTCTCAACGTGCCTTCCTTGATTACCAACTGTGCAAAGCAGTCCCGAGCTGGGCACAGCTGGGGTCACCAGGTGGGGTCTGTTGCTGTGTGAGTGCCACAGGGGGCACCTTGTCATTCTGCTTCCTGCCCCCCCCCCAGCTGCCACCCAGGGCCAGGCACACAGCAGGCCCTCAGCAAGTAAATATGCGCTACATGACCAAGCCCGGAGGCCACCGATGAGCTCTGTGCACAGCTTTCCCCCGCCCAGGGCACCCACGGCACTGGGGTGATTGGCACGCCCACCCCCCAGCCCCCAGTGCTCCCCTGGCCACTGCTTGGCCGGACACCGCTGAGCACCATGCCCTGGCAGTCTGGGCCTCCGCCCGGAGCCTGTACCTGCGACACACTTTGTGGGGCAAGCCCGGCATCTCCTCTGGGTAGAAGCCCTCGCCACAGGCTGGCACACATTTCCAGTCTTGGAAGTGGAAGTGTTGCGCACAGTGAATGCACTCTTCTCTGCTGGGCCCTGGGAGGTACAGGAAAAGGAGGTGTCAGGGGCAGGACCTGGGATGCTGTTCAGCCGGCCCCGCAGCTGATACCTTCCCAGGTGTCCTGCAGGGCTGGCCGGCCCCCGCCCACTCCCAGGAGCTGAGTGGTACCACCCTCCTTGCTCAGAGTGGGCATACAAGGCATGAGCCCATCCCAGGGATTGGCCCCGATCCCAAACGCTTCCTTCCTAATGGGACGGGACCCTCCTCGGCTAACGCCAGCGTGGCGGCCACTTCCCAGCCTCGGTGACCCGAGACGTGCTGTGGGCACAGAAAGCACACTGGGCGTAAGGGAGGAAGGCAAAAGCCGTGTTCCCTTTTATACGACAAGTGTTGGAAGGATCTCTTAGACACCTGGGTTAAATAGGACAGGTCAGCAAAATTATTTCCCTTCTTTTTACTTCCCAAGCTGTGGCTGCTCTGCACGCGTGTCTCCCACGTGTCAGAACACTGTGGAAGATGACCCAGAATGTGAACCAGAGGTCCTTGGGAATGGTGCTGGCAGGCATTTGGTGTGGATGCCCGGGGCCTGTTCAGCCGTGGAGGACAAGTGGCTAAGGGCAGCCCGAGGAGAGGGTCCTCCTCTGAACATAAGACCAAGGGGCATGGGGAGGAGACCTCGGCCCCAGAGTCAGGCAAGGACCTGCAGACAGGCAGCGGGGCTGCTGGCTGGTAGCGTGAGAGTTGTCTCAGGTGCTCCCTGGTCATCACAGTCCCCAGATGAGCCTCTCCCACCCTCCTCTTTGCTCTGATGGTGTCGCAGGTAGAGGTTTGGCGGCTAAGGCGGCGACAGCCCCTCTTCCTGGAGGAAAGCTGGGCTGGGCGGGGCCTCTCTGTGGCATGCAGATCCCTTGCAGAGCATCCCAAGTACTGAGGGGCACAGGACTCGGGGCCCCCGGGGCTGGCTCCGTGCCTCAGGGGCACAGCTCAGCTGTGCAGAGGATTCTGGGCTCTGCCTTTGTTGGGAAGCCCAGAAGGCCTGGGGTCTTTGAGCAGAGGGCAGAAGTGAGACCCTCTGGGGTGGCGGGCCTCTGTCACAGACCCGTCTCCCAAAGGAGGGGTGCCCTGCCTCTCTTCCTGCAGCGTGGATGACAAGCTGCCCCACACGCGGGCTTCTGTCTGGCTCATGCTGTCCTAGGGGGTCAGCTGCTCTCATGCCTTGTCCAGTCTGCCCCTTCCCCCCACTGCTAATCTCCAAGGAGCGTCCACTAGCAAGTGGGGCTGTCATTCCAGGTCTGGCCTCCGGTACCCACCACGGTCCCTCTCCTGTGCCTCACCTACTGACCCCGCCACCCTCTCTGTCTCTCCTCCGACACTAGGGGCCTTATGGCTGAGGGGCCTGTGGGGAGGGCTGGAACGCAGGCTGGTGTCTGCGCTTAGTCTAACGCTCTGTTGATTACATTTCAGTGGTCACACGTTGAGCTGGGGGGAGGGGGGGGGACAAAGGACCCTGGAGAAGGCTGGTGGCGATGGCTGCACAGCAGTGGCAGAATCCTGACAGTGCCTGCACTGCTCCCCTAAAATGGTCAGGACAGTGCACTTTATGTTATGTGCATTTTACCACAATAATTTTAAAAAGCTGATTAAACATACCTTTCCCAAGCAAACTATTTTCTCAATTACAAAAAGTTATGTTTCTAACAAAGTCTCTTCAGGAGTCTATTACATTACAAGTCTTTTTAGGCTCCAAATGCTTTAAACACATCCGTGGTCAGAAGAATAACAGCAAACCAGGCAGTGCTTATGCAGGGACAGACGCATCATTCATGGGCCAATCAACAACATGGGGCCTGGGCCAGCATCCTAGTGAATGGGGAAAAGTTGGAAGCATTCCCACTGAGATCTGGTCCCAGACAGGAATGCCCACTCTCACCATTGCGATTCAATATGGTCCTGGAAGATTTAGCTAGAGCCATTAGGCAAGAAAAAGAAATCAAAAGGATACAAATTGGGAAGGAGGAAGTCAAACTATCCCTATATGCAGATGACGTGGTTCCTTATATAGAGGATCCAAAAGATTCCACTAAGAGACTATTGGAACTCATAGAAGAGTTTGGTAAAGTAACAGGATATAAAATCAATACACAAAAATCAACAGCCTTTGTATACACAGACAATGCCATGGCTGAGAAGAACTTCTAAGATCAACCATTCACAATAGCTACAAAAAAATAAAATATGTCGGAATACATTTAACCAAGGATGTCGAAGATCTATATGATGAGAATTACAAAATATTAAAGAAAGAAATAGAAGATACAAAAATGGAAAAATCTTCTATGTTCATGGATTGGAAGAATCAATATCATCAAAATGTCCATTCTTCCAAAAGCAATTTACAGATTCAATGCAATACCATTCAAGATACCAAAGACATTCTTCTCAGATCTAGAAAACATGATGCTGAAATTCATACAGAGGCACAGGAGACCTCAAATAGCTAAAGCAATTTTGTACAACAAAAAACAAAGCCAGAGGCATCACAATATCAGATTTCAAGACATACTACAAGGCAGTTATAATCAAAACAGCCTGTTACTGGTACAAAAACAGATGGACAGACCAATGGAAAACAGAAACACCAGAAATCAATCCAAACTTCTACAACCAACTTATATTTGACCAAGGGGCTAAAACCAATCCCTGGAGCAAGAACAGTCTCTTCAACAAATGGCGATGGGAAAACTGGATTTCCACATGCAGAAGTATAAAGCAAGACCCCTACCTTACACCTTACACTCAACATGGATTAAAAATCTAAATCTATGACCCGACTCCATCAAATTATTAGAGAACATTGGAGAAACCCTGCAAGACATTGGCACAGGCAAAGAGTTCTTGGAAAAGACCCAGAGGTACATGCAGTCAAAGCCAAAATTAACAAATGGGATTACATCAACAGTCAGGGAGGCAAAAAGGCAGCTGACACAATGGGAGAAATTACAAACTATGCAATTGATAAAGGATTAATAACCAGAATCTACAAAGAGATCAAGAAACTCCACAACAACAGAACAAACAACCCAGTTAAGAGATGGGCCAAGGACTTAAGCATTTTTCAAAAGGGGAAATCCACATGGCCAACAGACACAGGAAAAAAGGTTCAGGATCAGCAGCCATCAGGGAAATGCAAATCAAAACCACAATGAGGTTTCACCTCACCCCGGTGAGAATGGCTTTCACACAGAAACCAACAGACAACAAGTGCTGGCGAGGATGGGGGGAAAAGGTACCCTAATCCACCGTTGGTGGGCATGCAAACTGGTAAAACCACTATGGAAGGTAGTTTGGAGATACCTCAGAAATCTAAATATAGACCTCAGAAATCTGAAAATAGACCTACCTACAACCCAGCCATCCCACTCCTGGGAATTTACCCAAGGGAAATGACATCGGCAAATAAAAAAGTTATATGCACCTCCATGTTTAATGCAGCTCAATTCACAATAGTGAAGACATGGAATCAACCTAAATGCCTGTCAACAGAAGACTAGATAAAGAAATTATGGGATATATACTCTATGGAATACTGCACAGTGGTAAAAAAAAAAAAAAAAAGAAATCTGGTCATTTGCAACAAAATGGATGAATTTGGAAAACATCATACTTAGTGAAATAAGCCAGTCCCAAAGGGACAAATACAACTTGTTCTCTCTGATCTCTGACAACTAACAGAGCACCTAAAAGGAAACCTGTAGAAGTGAAATTGACACTACGAGAAGCAATGACTTGAACAGCCTTTGTCTTGACTGTTGAGGAACCATTTATTATTTTATTATTTTTTACTTCTTTTTCTTTTATTCCTAATACCATTGGTTGAACTCTTTACTTAACATAGAATTAAGTGTATAAAGTCAATTGGAAATAGATCCTTGTGAAAAATATAAAGTGGGAATAAGAGAGGGAGGAGACATACAGTTCAGCACACACTCCTACGGACTTACCCCTAAGGGTAAAGCTAAAAACTTGCCATGGGACTCCAAACCCCATTAAGCTAGGTGGTACTAATGCCATCTTATGTGTTAAAGTGATCATATTAAATGTGCAATTGATCATATAGATAGCATTAAGTGTCAAAGGAATCACATAAATAAGACGAAGTGTCTGGTAATAACAATAGATAGAATTAAAAAGGAAACAATGATCCAGCAAGGGCAGCGGGCCACATAGCACTCATAGAATGACAAACGCCCTAAACAGCACTCTGGCCTCAGAATCAGCCCTTATGGCATTGAGATCTGGCTGGAAAGCCCAGGAGCACATTTCAGGCATGCAAAGCTAAGACACTGTGGCAAAATATGTTCTATATGAAAGATCTCAGTGGAAAGAAGGGGCATCAAAGAAGGAGGTACCTTTCTCTGAAGGGAGGAGAGAACTTCCACTTTGATTATGGCCCTGTCTAAATAATGTCAGAGTTTATGGACTCAAAAGGCTTCCATAGCCTTGGCAGCTCATGACAAAAGCTTTGGATAATCACTGACATTATAAATAAGAGTGTCAATTGTTAAATCAACAACAGGAGTCACTGTGCACTTGCTCCCCATGTAGGACCTCTGTCCTTAATGAGTTGTATTATGAGAATTAACTGTAAAACTTGTTCTCAAACAGTACTTTATGTGTTATGTGTGCAGGTGCAAACTATTGAAATCTATACTTAGTATCTAGTTGGTCTTCTGTATATAAAGATAATTAAAAATGAATCTTAATGAAGAATGGGATGGGAGAGGGAGTAGGAGGTGGGAAGGCAGGTATGGGGGGAAGAACCACTATCTTCCTAAATCTGTACCTATGAAATCTGTATTTATTAAATAAAAGCTTTCTTCAAAAAAAAAAAAAAAAAAAAAAGAAGAAGAAGAAGAAGAAGAACACGGGGCCCTTGATCAGAAAACAGAAGAGGGGTGGGTGTTTGGCGCAGCAGTGAAGTCGCCACCTGGGACGCCCGTGTCCCACGTTAGAGGGTCTGTGTTCAATGCCCCGCTCCGCCCCTGTCATGCTAACGTGTGCCCTGCAAAGCAGCAGGAAAAGCTTCCTGCCACGCAGATGGGAGACCAAGACTGAGCTCCAGCTCCCAGCTGCTGCTGGCCTTTGGGGAGTAAGCCAGCGAGGCGAGCTCCTGTCTCTCCCTTTCTGTCTCTCTAACTCTCAAATAAAGAAATATATATATTTTTAAAAAGCAGGAGAAACATGTTGGTTTAGGAGTCCTAAGACCAACAGCATTTTCTTGAGCAATCTGCCTCTACCTGCCACGGTGTTCTTACTTCCAGTTCACGTGGTGCTCTCTCAGGCACAGGAAGTTCACGGGCAAGGGATGACCCTCACAGGTGCCTGGGATGCTGCCCCTTGATGTGCTGTGCGTGGGCCCCCCATACCTGGAGGCCAGCTCCTAAGCAAAGCAGGTAGCTGAGAACAGGAACTTCTGAGACCCAGACCGGACAGGGAGCAAGAAGCCTGTGGGTGACTCACGGAAGGAAGTGGGGGCTCTCTCCAGGGGCTGCCTGGAGTAGACATCAGGCCCCCAGGAGGAAACGGGGAGGTAGGAGAGCTCCCCTTGCCCTGAGACCTGCAGACCGCCAGTTTATATTCCTGAAGTGATGGAGAAGTCACTGGACTGAGATGAGAAAACCTACAAGCGATAAAGCTGTGGCCATCAGACTGGGGACTAGAGAATGGATTTACTGAAATCAGGAGTTCACAGCTGCACGCCTGAATCACAGGGAGTCGAGGGACCATGTGGGGCAGGTGCTGCGGTACAGGGGGCGAAGCTGGCATTCAGGAGGCCTGCATCCCATATCCGAGGGCCTCCTCCACTTCCCTGCTAACAGGCACCCTTCCAGGCAGCAGACGGCTCAAATTCTTGGGTCCCCATCACCCACACGGGATGGATCCAAATGGAGATCCAGCTCCTGGCTTCAGCCTGGCCCAGGCCTGGCTGTTGTGGGCATTTGGGGACTGAACCAGTAGATGGAAGATAGCTCCCTCTTTCTCTCACTCTGCATTTTAAATGAATGAATGAATGAATGAATGAATTACCATAGGTAATTTTTTTAAACTAACCTGGGCTACACAGTGAGTCAAGAAATAAAGAATAAAAGCGACAGATGAAAAGAGGGCAGGTTAACTGCTAGGAAAGACTACTGAGCTGCCCGTGGCGGGACCCCAGACCCAGCTCCCTCTTGGCTTGTCCGAGGAGGGCCTGAGGAGGGCATACCTCCCACAGCGGCTGAGGGCCAGCCCGGGCCACCGCTGTGCATGCCACTTGGCCGCAGCCTTGGTGGCTCTGGCACATCCACTCCTGGACTGCACAGCTGATGGCTATGTGGGCTACAGAGCCACCTGGGGAAGGTCATGCATATCCTGTGGCATTTCCAACCAGCAGGACTGTGGCAACTGCAACTTAGCAGAGACCTACTCTTTAGATTGCTACTGAGGCCAAAGCTCAACCTAACACAGGTTTGTTAGAATGGACCAATGTGCCAGGGGCAGGACGGAGGGCTGAGAGGAAGAAACCTAACTCAAACCACACACAGCCCACATGCGTATGCTGTGCTTTAACTTCCTTGTGAACATAACTGTAAGACAAAGCCCAAAAAACAAACAACTTCTCCACTATTCTGCATAAAAACTGCTCTGGGAGGCTGGTGCTGTGGCACAGCGGGTTAAACTGCTGCACGCTGGCATTTCATATCAGAGTGCCAGTTTGAGCCCCAGCTGCTCCAATTTCCTGCTATGTGCCTGGGTGGGTACAAGTACCTGGGCCCTGCAATGCCTGTGGGAGACCCAGATGGAGTTCCTGGCTCCTGGCTTCACCTAGCCCAGCTCTGGCTATTGCAGTCATTCAGGGAGTGAACTAGTGGATGCAAGATCTTTCTCTGTCGCTCCCTCTCTTTGGTGCTCTGCCTTTCAAATAAATAATGTATTTGAATAAATAAATATATATTTGAAAGGCAGAGTTAGAGAGAGACAGGGCAGATAGAGAGAGGTCTTCCATCTGCTGGTTCACTCCCCAGATGGTTGCAATGGCTGGAGCTGTGCCAATCCGAAGCCAGGAGCCAGGAGCCTCCCCCAGGTCTCCCACCCGGGTGCAGGGCCCAAGGACCTGTGCCAGCTTCTGCTGCTTTCCAAAGCAACAGCAGAGATCCGGATCCAAAGAGGAGCAGCTGGGCCTGAACTGGAACCCACATGGGATGCCGGTACTGCAAGCTGTGGCCTGACCCACTATGCCACAGCACTGGCCCCACAATATATATTTTTAAAAATATATTTAAAAAATAAGTAATTTAGGGGCCGGCGCCGCGGCTCACTAGGCTAATCCTCTGCCTAGCGGCGCCAGCACACCGGGTTCTAGTCCCGGTCGGGGCGCCGGATTCTGTCCCGGTTGCCCCTCTTCCAGGTGAGCTCTCTGCTGTGGCCAGGGAGTGCAGTGGAGGATGGCCCAGGTGCTTGGGCCCTGCACCCCATGGGAGACCAGGAAAAGCACCTGGCTCCTGGCTCCTGCCATCGGATCAGCGCGGTGCGCCGGCCGCAGCGCGCCGACCGCGGCGGCCATTGGAGGGTGAACCAACGGCAAAGGAAGACCTTTCTCTCTGTCTCTCTCTCTCACTGTCCACTCTGCCTGTCAAAAAAAAAATAATAAAAAAATAAAAAAATAAGTAATTTAGGGCTGGGCCAAGCCAAAGTCAGGTGCCTAGAACTCCATCTGGGTCTCCCATGTGGGTACAGAGGCCCCAGAACTTGGGCCATCTTGTGCTGCTTTCCCAGGCGCGCTAGCAGGGAGTTGGATCAAAAGTGGAGAAGCCGGGACTTGAACTGGTGCCCATATGGGACGCTGGTCTCACATGCTGTGGCTTAACCTGCTGTGCCACAACACTGGCCCCAATAAAGAGCTTCAAAAAGTTGTGCTTGGGAAATATCTGTGCTATGATCTTTGTTGGGATTTAAAATACAGGTAAAGTTGTCGACAGAAGTCTTTCTTCTTTGAACAGAATGTTCACAACAGTCAAGGCAGGCGGGCAGTGTTCTAAAGCCATGCCCACCTGACCTGCTCAGCTCTCGGGATCATCAGGCTGTGTCTCAGGCAGCGCCACACCACACAGCATGGAGCTCCAAGCAACCAACTTATGGGTGATAGACACGGTCATATCCTCCAGAGCTGGGCAGCACCCACTGCTTGGCTGGGTTCCTAACAGTGGGGAACATAGGCTGCTTGCTCAGAATGGGTCTTTGCATCGTTTAGGGTTAGGGTTTTGTTTAGTTTTTGAAAGCTTGTGAACTGTGGGGAAAATGGACATCACATAAAATTTACCAGTTCAGGGACATTAACTCCATCCAGTGTTGTACAACCATCGCCACCATCCATCCACAGATCTCTTCACCTTGCAGAATTGAAACTCTGTGTCCATTAAACAGTAACTTCTCTTCCCCCTCTTCCACCAGCCCCTGGTAGGGCCTTTGTGTTTTCTTCTTGTGTTGTGTTGCCTTTGTGTTTTAACACTGCAAGCCCGTGAAGGCCCAGGGGTTTGTTTCAAGATAGCTGGCCTGCCTACCCTGGCAACCGTGGTTCTATCTGATTATCTGGCAAAATAAAGGCCTCTGTGGACAGTGAACTCACCCACGCAGGTTCGGCAGGTGTGGTGGCATTCCCCACACTGGATCAGCTCAGAATCAAAGTAGGTGCCTGGTTCACAGTCGGGAATGCAGCTGCCCCGTGCGAGGCTGTTAAAGAGAAGCGGCAGGTTTCCACATCTGTTCCAAAGCCCTAATTACATTATGATTTGCATCAAAGGCCTCTCCCCAGAAGAAATGAGTTACTGAAGGTTCCAAGCTAAGGAACGCTGGAGAAGCTGTCCTGAAGCCAGCTAGAGGCCTGGGCCTGGGCAGCAGAGCCTGCATGGAGAGGGCTAAGGCCTCCCAACCCCTCCTGCTCTGTGCTGGCTTCTCTTCTCCACTGCTGCGCCAACCTGAATCTGTACCCTAGTGGGAGAGCTAGAGCACACGGGGCATCTCCACTGCTGGCTGTCTCTGTCCAGGGCCTCCTTGAAATGTCAACAGTTACAACGTGGGAGGCCGTGTGGGCTGCAAGGGTGACCCTGCTGATGCCTCTCCCTTGCTTGAAAGCATCTGTGATTTCACAATGAACTTGAAATAAAATCCCCACTTGGGAGCTGCCCGATGTGGCTCCCATCTTCCCTTTCCTCCAGCCAGACTGCCCAGCACCCAAGCACAGACACAGACTGAGCTAGACCGCCCAGGCTGGATCTGGCCTGTGTCTGGCATGTGGCTCTAAGCCCACGTCACCCACTATGACTTCTTCATCTCCTGAGAGTTCCGGTGCCCGATGCCCACGCTCTGAACGCAGCCACTGCACACACTGCGCAAGTGCCCTGCACTGCATCTGTCGGGTCCAGAGGATCCTGCTGGGATACTGGGATTTGTCATTAGAAATATGGCTTTGCTGTCTGTCCTGGCACTCAGCTCCTAATACCCTTGGAGTATGACACATGCCTTTCTCTATGCTAATGAGATGACTGCAAGCTGAGGGCTTCCCAGGGGCCTCAGGATGGGAGCTGGTTGCCAGGGGAACCCATCTGGTTAAACTCTCAGCCCTACCACCCAGACCTGCAGGGAGCAGAGAGGAGCTGAAGGCTAAACCGACCATCCAAGGCTGATGGTGTAATCAAACGTGTTACATCATGAAACTTCCATCAAGTCCAAGGACAGGGCTCTACGAGCTTCTGGGCTGGTGCACACAGCACACCCATGTGCCAGGGGGTGGCGCCCCAGAATCCGCACAAGCGAATTCCTGACCCATCTGAACTGTGCCCTGCCTCTCTTCTCCTGGGCTGTTTACCTGTGTCCTCTGTAGCATTCTTTATAACAAGTGGGTAACTGAAGTGAAGAGCTGCCCGACTTCCATGAGCTGCTGCAGATCAACCAAACCTCTGGGCGGGCGGGTGGGTGGATGGGGGCTGCGGGAATGCTAACAACTGTGGGACAGAAGTGCAGGTGGCAGCCTGAGACTTGTGATTGGCACCTTCAGGCGGTTGGGAGGTGTGGTCTTATGGGGCTGAGTCTTTAACCTGCGGGACTTGACAACCCTTAGGGAGTGTCAGGACTGAGTGAAATTACGGGCTCCCCGGCTGGCATGTACCAGGGAATGGCTAGCCCAGTTCGATGCGTGGGGGTGAAGTGTGTGGTGCAGGGAGCAGGAGAACACCCTGGAATTCTGGTATTTCCTATCTCCTACGCCTGCATCGCAGGGAGGCGTTGGCTTGGATAGCAGGTGCCCACCCAGGGCTCTTCCTCATCAGGGCTCTGAGGGCACTGTGTGCGGCAGCTTGGTCGTGGCTTTGTGGCTGACATTCTCCTGCGAACCTGTCCTGCGTTTATCCCTCCACACAAAGTAGTGGCTGGGACTCTTGTGGTTGTAACGTGGTGGTGATGACCTTGAAGTCAGAGCTTAAAAGGATGTCAGGCAATAACAGGAAGCTCCCTGTGGACTGCAGCTGACCACATTCCCAGGGCTGCAGGCCCTCTGCATCCTGTCACTGCTGGACCCACTGCCCTTCCTACCAGGCTGGTCTTGAGCTGGGTATCTGACTCCCCTGCCCAGGGGACACACCCTGCACTCCTCTCTGCTGGGAGACAGGTCCCGAGGAGCTGCCGCCACAACGCCTTCCCTCCTTCCATGCCCAGGATCACAGAAGGAGGTGCTGACTGCTCCCAGCTGCCCCGCCAACAGGGCCAGGACAGCAGCACTGGCCTCTCCCCGGCGCCCCAGCCATAGCCCCCAGCTGAGCGCCTCCTCTCCAACAACCGGCTCGAATCAGACACAGGATTGAACAGACTTGGACTCTTTGCCCTGAAGAAAAGGTCTGGGGCCTGTGACACCACAGCTTCTAGGAGAAGCCACAACCAACCCGGCCCCGGCCCTGGCACCCCCAGGCCTCAAGGGGGCCTCACCTGAACCCGTCCTTGCACACGGTGCACTTCTCAGGCTCATCCACGCACTTCTTACAGCTCGGGTGGCATTTCAGGCAATTTTTCTGACCTGGAGAAAAACAGCATGAGGAGGAGAAGGGGAGGGGCTGTGTGGAAGGAATCCCGCCCAGCCGGCGAGCCTCCAGCGCAGGGCTGGCCGCACGCCACTTCCCGCCGTTACCAACGGCAGCACAGCCACAGCCTCTGCCCTCCCGCAAGGCCCTCAAGCAAACGCGAGGCTGGGGAGGCCGTCCTGCGCCTGGGCAGATGTGTCCTGGTCCTGCTTGGAACTGGGCCCAGTTTCCGGCTGGCTTAGTCAGGGGCAAAGCCTTAGAAAGGCGATGGGGAAGTGGACTGACACCACTGACGAGGGGTCCGTACTGAAGACCGCAGCTACACACAGTCAGACGGGAGCCTGTGCCGAGCCGTTAAAACACTGGGAAACAGGGTCACCCACTTCCCACCTGCACTTGGGGAAGCTGTCACCTGGGCTCTTCTGTTGGCACATCCATCATCAAACGCCACCCTGCACCCTCACTAAGTGGTTGGGGTGTTCCGAGTCTGAAGCTGACAGCTGCTTGCTCCCCTCTGCACAGCCCCTGCGCCCCACAGATGGGTTACACACAGCAACGGGCGCTCGGCAAGGACGCACTGGGCAAACCAGGGTTCCTGCTCTGACGAAGGAGAATCCCCGCCCTAAAGCAGGTCTGGTTAGCAGCCCAGGGTGTGAAATGCGTCCTCGTGACTTTTGGTCTCCCCAGCTTTGCATGTCTTTAAGCACGTCCTGGCTCCTTCCCCGCAGGTTAACAGTGATGCCAGGTACAGCAGGGTCCCGAGAGACCTGCCACCTGCCACCCGTCAGAGCACAAACATCAGAATGGCAGCTGCTTTTACTTGCTGGAGGACAAGCCCTCCTCAGCTTCACCCAAGCCCTTTCTATCTCTCCTGGGGTGAGGCGATTGCTGAGACAGGGCTGTGGTCCTGGCCCAGAGCCACGGCCTGTCCCACCCACTTTCCTGGGACACATGGGACGGCAGGACATCTGGCTTTGTTGTGCTGAGTTCAAGTCCTACCTCCGTCATTACCAGCTACGGGCCACTCCCTCTCGCAGCTGCAAGAGGTGGAGAACACTTCCCACCCCTCAGGACTGTGGTCCCCCCGAAGCCCAACCTGTCCCTTGTGAGCCCAATGTCCATCGGCCACAGCCCCCTGCCACTTCTGGAGGACTTCACGCCTTCTGCCTGCTCCTCAGTCCCCGTTTCAGCTCAGATGCTGGGCAGGTGCTTTCCCCCCGTGTTGACTGCCAACGCTAACAACTCAGGCCGAGTCCCCGACTCCTGCCCAGAGCCCCCAGGTCACAGAGAAGCTGAGGGCATGGTGTCTCCTGGAGACAAAACTACAGGGCATCCTCTTCTGGGGCCTGCAGAGTGAGCCCTCCTGCCAGTCACGTGTCGGCCCATCCTCCACGGCGGGCACTGACCGCAGACGCCTGCAACCCCTGGACTGCTGGGACCCAGTGAGCATCACTGCGAACTGCCCCGGCCAGGGAGTGGGCGGCAGGAGCTACAGGGGCTGAGTGCTCGGATTTCATCACCATCTCTCCCCTACCCCACTCCCCCACCATGAAAGGTTTCTACCTAAAACAACACAGCATGCAGGAAGCACAGGGCCCAGAAAACTCTCCCGGTAGAGGCGACATCAGCCCAGACCAGGCTGCTGACTCGCTGACCCTGGCGCCCAAGCACGTGTCACTTACTTTCATCAGCGTAAAACCCAGCAGGACAGAGGGTCACACAGGTGTTCATCTCCTGGTGGTGATAGAAGCCGCGCCGGCAAGACAGGCACTGCGTGGGGCTCCTGCCCGAGCACGTCTCACATCCCTTGTGGCAGCGGCGACAGCGTCTCGCTGCGGTGTCCCCAAAGTAGCCCAAAGGGCATGCGCTGACGCACTTCCTGTGGGAGCAAGGGCAGAGCAGGGCCTTTTCCACGCTGGCCCAGGCCCAGCGCTGGGGGGCCTCCCCAGCCTCAGCCGCCCCTCCGAGTAGGTGAAACTGAGGATGCAGCAGTCTGCGGGTGAAGGCTACACCAAGGGCGCCCTCAGCCTTGCGTGCCGCTGAGGGCTTCCCAGGTGCACAGCGGAGCTCTGAGGGCTCGAGCAGAATCAGGGGCCCTTCCTTCCTGAGCGGCCCCAGCGGGGCATCCTGAGGCTGCGGGGCTTCCCCCGGGCACTATAAAGCTGCTCCTTGACTTAGGAGTTTTGGGCTCTGGCAAAACCCCGTGGCAGGAGTCTCCCGGGCAGCGGGAAGAGCCAGCAGGATGAGCATCTCTGCACAGTGGCGGCCTGAGTGCAGCCATCAGCGCTCCCCAGGACACCATCAGGGCCAGGCCTGCACCCCTCCCCTCCCTGCCACACCCCCCAGCACACCACTGCACCCCTCCCCTCCCTGCCATGCCCCCCAGCACACCACTGCACCCCTCCCCTCCCTGCCACACCCCCCAGCACACCACTGCACCCCTCCCCTCCCTGCCACACCCCCCAGCACACCACTGCACCCCTCCCCTCCCTGCCACACCCCCCAGCACACCACTGCACCCCTCCCCTCCCTGCCATGCCCCCCAGCACACCACTTCACCCCTGCCCCTCCCTGCCATGCCCCCCAGCACACCACTGCACCCCTCCCCTCCCTGCCACACCCCCAGCACACCACTGCACCCCTCCCCTCCCTGTCACACCCTACTCCCAGCACACCACTGCACCCCTCCCCTCCCTGCCATGCCCCCCAGCACACCACTGCACCCCTGCCCCTCCCTGCCATGCCCCCCAGCACACCACTGCACCCCTGCCCCCCCGCCAACCCCACCCCCAGCACACCACTGCACCCCTGCCCCTCCCTGCTACGCCCCACCCCAGCGCACCACTGCACCCCTGCCCCTCCCTGTCACGCCCCACCCCCAGCACACCACTGCACCCCTGCCCCTCCCTGCCACGCCCCACCCCCAGCACACCACTGCACCCCTGCCACACCCCACCCCCAGCACACCACTGCGCCCCTGCCCCTCACTGTCACGCCCTACCCCCAGCACACCACTGCACCCCTGCCCCTCCCTGCCACGCCCACCACCCTCAGCACACCACTGCACTCCTGCCCCTTCCTGCCACGCCCCATCCCCAGCACACCACTGCGCCCCTGCCCCTCACTGTCACGCCCTACCCCCAGCACACCACTGCACCCCTCCCCTCCCTGCCACGCCCACCACCCTCAGCACACCACTGCACCCCTGCCCCTCCCCACCCCCAGCACAACACTGCACCCCTGCCTCTCCCTGCCATGAACCCCTGAACAAAACAGCTCCCCTGCCCCTTCCGTGAAGCTGGCAGGGACAGGAATCTGAGCAGGTGACTCTGCTACAGGAGCTCGGGAGGCAGAGCGCGGGCCGGGCTGCAGGGACACCTGCCTGAGGCCCAGGCCTCCTGACGCCCTCGCTCGGGACACTCGGGGTCACGGGCTGTCTGGGGCATGGCCAGGAGAAGGCCTGTGGAGGCCACACACACACAGTCACCAGCCTGCGGGAGAGTGAGGCCCCCACAGCTGGCCCGGCTAGGCCAACAGTACTGGGCCCTGGAGTCACATCTGCCCTAAATTCCCAGGTGGGCAGCCCTGGCACGCTCAGTAACACAACGGGTAGAGGGAGGGTTATCAGCACAGGACCAAAGTGCCACAGCTCGAGCTCTCCAGATGCACACGTATGGCTTATGTGATGAGAACAGTCATGGACCCCGATGTCATCTCCCTCCCGGGATGTCACACTGATTCCTGACTGGGGCATAGGTGAGGAGAGGCTCAGAGCACCCCGATGGTGTCCTGGGGATCCCTGATGGCTGCTCTGAGCCTCTGGTCCTTTGGAGGGACCACTCAGCGGGGCACCCTGGGACCCAGGAGAGGCCAGCGGCCATGCCAGTCCGTTACCTGCTGGTCTTGAAGTTGCCCAGGCTGAAGTGCACGCAGTTCAGGCATTGGTCTGCACCGGGGCCGTCGCAGCCCTTGTTGCCGCACTCCGGATGGCACACACCTTAAAGAAAGAAGCATTTCCTTTCATCCAGAGATGCTTTCCCAGCCGAGTGCAGTCCCCCGTATCCGTGTCAGGACACTGTAACTTGGTGGGGCAGGACATGCTCCCCTTAGGTATGGTGGGTGCTGGGGCTAGAAGGCCAGGCCACAAGGTGTAGCAGCCACTCCCACAGGACCGGGTGCCAGCCCAGGGCTGAGCCTAGCCTGGCTTTGGGGTCAGAGTCTGGACAGTCTAGACAGGGGCTTCATGGGAACAGGTGAGCTAGCCAGCGAGGGTGGGCGACCAAGCCCACTGACAAGATCAGACTGTGACGTCTAGGAGAGGCCGAGCAGGGGAGGGGCGTGCAGGGCCCTGCGTCAGTCATGCTGGGACTGCCCGCGCTTCGACGTCCACTGGGACAATCAGAGCAATGCCATGTGGGGTACAATGCCATGTGGGGTGATTAGCGAAGCCACCACCAAGCCGAGCGGATCCAACATGAATCAGGCAGGGAGGGTGGATTTCATGTATTCAGGACCACTGGGCAGGTGTGCGGTGGGAAAGACAGCACCCAGCAGCAGGACGCTGGGGTGGGTGGGTGTGCACATCCTTCCAGAGAATTCCTTTTGGTTCCCCTCGCTCTAGTCCTCAGGGCTGGGTGGCCAACATCTTCCTGCAAGTCCTTACAGACCTACAGATTCTAGCGGGGGCCTGGGTGTGGCTGGAGAAGAGACAGGGATGTGTAGCAAGCCTCCCCCTTCCAGGTGCCTCCCCAGCTACGGCACAGGGCAGAGCCCTCTGCACTGGGGAAACGGGTCAGGAAAACCTTTCAAATGGATCTAAGGAGACCCAGGAAGGCTGGGCAGGGCACAATGAAGGCTCTTGAGCAGGCAACACCCAACACACCCATCACACACACACACACACACACACACATTCTGGGGGCACTGGGCTGAGGGAGACACAAGTCCTCACTCCCTGCTGCCCCAGAGGGTCTCTGCTGAGCACACACGGCCCTCCTCCTCGGCCCCTTCAGAGTCTCCAGGACCTCTCAGCATGAGGCCTGCTTATTTTGCTTCCCTCCTGGAAGCACCCCTCTGGCTGACAGCCCCAGGTCTGCACCGTGGACCCCTCCTGCCTGCCTCTGCCGCTGGTGCTCTGTGTCCCAGACACACCCGCTGCTTCCAAGCCCTTCCAGAAGCCGGGGCGCCCTCCCCGGCCTCCCAGCTCCACCGTTTCTCTCATCTGGAGTCACCTCTTGTCTCCGTGAATCTTTGTCGGTGTCACCTGGGGTCACTTACAGGGGCAGCCTCAGCGACCTGTAATCCCCGGGCCCCGGTTTTCAAGCCCCACCAAGCCTGGCCACGGGGCTCGGCCTCCCCACCCAGCGTGGCGAGGGCCTACAGCGGCTTCAGTGACGCAGTGACTTAAGGATGTCCATCCCTGTTCTCCTGCAGGATTTCCCCAAGGCTGAGGGAGGCAGCAGGCCTCTGCTGGATACACTGGACACTTCCCTTCGTGTAAAGGAGATCAGCCACAGGCTCCACACTCATCCCACGTGCGGGAGACAGGGGCTCCCTGCAGGCCACCACGTCCCAGCACCCAGAACTCACATGGCACGGGCCAGGTACGCAGGGAAAGGGCAGGTGCAGGTATCCTCACCCTACACAGGCAGAGTATTTTCTAGAAGATGCCCACAAGGGGACGGTCCTGTGGAGGCCTGGAATGGGGTTTCTAGCCCTTGGTCTCTGGGATGTGGACTTCAACCCGTCAGTCATCCTGGGGAGCTCCTTGTGAGGCTGGGTCTACCCAGCAGCCAGGGCCCTGACCCTGACCCTGACACGCAGCCAGGCTGTGGCTGCACAGGCCACATGTGGAGGGTGCCAGCAAAGCCTCCCAGCTCACAGCTCTGCACCTGAATGTCTGGAGATCAAGTCCTGTCTCCCATGAAGCCCGGGATCCAATCCAGCAGGCAGGCCTCTGGCCCAGCTGTCACTCACTCGGGGCAGCGCACGTCAGTGGCGGTGCGGTTTCTACTTGCTATTGCTTTCCCACTTCCCTCAACTCACGGGCAAGCTCCTTGAGGGCCGCTGACTTCCTGTGCCTGGCAGGAAGCTCCCAGGACATGGGGCGGCCGACAGCGGGGCCTCCTCTACACGGGGCTTCCTGGGGAACTGCACCCGAAGTCCTTTGTGGAGTGAGTTGAGGGGGTTTTAGATACACAAACAGGCAAACAAGAGAAAGCAGTGAGAATTCTGGCCGGGCTGCATCATGCCGTGCCTAGGCCGAGCTGTGGAGAGGCCAGGAGGAGGTGGTAGGTGGGCACCATCTTCGTCCACAGTCACCCCATCCGGGGGAAAGCACACTGGAACCTCAACCTAACGCTGTTAGGCCCAGTGTGGATGCAAGAGTTGGGCTGGCTGACTGGAGACAAGAAGTGCTGGCTGGAACAAGAGACCACTGTCCTCACAATGCTGGCCGCCGCCTCTGCTCCCACTCCTGGGAGTGACCCTGGCGTAGAATGCCTGATGCTGTCAGCTTCCTCAGGGTGGCTCCCTTCGCCGGGCGGCAGTTCAGCCGGGCCCTGGTGGCCCTGCAGCTGGGAGCCCCTCCCTCGCAGTGCATGACCTGGCCGGCCGCTGTCCATTCCACTGTCCACGCACACCCCCCGGCCCTCCCTCACTTCCTCTCATTCTCGTCCCTCCTGTCTGCCCTCTTCCTTGTGCTGTTTGCCCCCTCCCCGCCCCCCTGACCCACTGCTCCCTGAGACAGCCTTCTATGCTTGGGTGTAGGTGGAGCCTCTGCTGGCCTGGGCCCACGGCCCTCAGTGCGCCTTTGGCTCCTGGCGGCGCTCTGCGTCCTGGATGCCCTCGACCTTGCCTTGGCCTCTACGTGACTGCTCCCACTCCTCCTCCTGTGCCTCCCTCGCCATGGTTCTGGCTCCCTCTGTCTGAGAGGTGGGGTGCTCCCTGCTGTCACTCTCCTACCCACCCCACTTGCTGCAGACTTCAAGGGCTTCCCAAGAGCCTAGAGGGTGTCTCAGTCCCTTGGGGACCCTGTTGCTGCAGCCAGGCCGTGCTAGGCAGAGACCAGGTACACAGAGCCGCGGGACAGTGTCCTGGTGAGTTTCCAGTGTGCAAGGCTAAAGTCAGTAGCAGATTTTATACGGAAAAACCTAGTCCTTTATTAATAATTACTGAATCTTGCCAAGGCTTATAAATCACGGGGGGAAACGCAGCAGATTAATCCATACATAATTCAATGCCCTGAGTTAAAGGAATGGTAGAAGAAATTTAAAATGGAATTGACCATAATTTATGCTTGATATGTATTGGTAGATTTGTCTGTTATTATTTTTTTCAGAAGATACTAGACAACTCAAAGCATCAATTTTCTTAGCAAGCACTCATCATTTATCAAGAAGCCGCAACACTCCGCGAAGGAGAACACGTCCAACTAGAAACATCCAGTGTGGCACAAAGTGCTACAGGATGGCTGAGAGAGAGGGGAGCAGTTTTTGACCAAAAATGCTAATAAAAACTGTGCCTGGCTCTGTGGCCGGCAGTGTCCAATGCCGTTTCTGGGCTCTGTGGCTATTGAGTGCGTTGGTGGAGGAAGCTGGTGGCCCAGAGCCAGGAGCCGTTCTGGCAAGGGGACAGTGGGAGGAGGATGCGCACGTGGCATTTCTGCACCGCGTCAGCATCTTCTGCCATCAGCTCCTGGGTGCCAGCCCTCAGGCAGGTCAGATCTCTCCTGCCAGCTCCTTTCCTGGCTGTGCTCACAGAGTCTAACCCTCCAGGGCTCTCATTAGTGACCTTGTCCCTCTCAGGTTCTGGCCATGGAGAGGGTTTGGTTGGGAGAGTCAGGAGGCTGAGCCATGAGATGGGGCTCTTTGGGGGAAAGGGGGTGCCCTGGAGGTGGCCAGTTAACCAGGGGGCAAGTCCAGTCCTGGCTGGGCATACATAGGCTTGGACTCCCCACTGGGAAGACGGGAGGATACTTACTGGTCTGCAGCATACTTACTGGTCTGTAAAATATTAGGAGAGCCTTGGGTGGAAGGAGCTGTGTGAGTGCAAATTTACCATCATTATTACAACTTCCAAGCAAGAGGAGGCACAACCATACCCCCGCCTTCTGCCAGGAACAGCCCCACATCTGAAGAGCCAGAGAGGGAAACCAGAACTCCAGGAGGCTAGCCGTCTCCTCCCACTCCGGGCTGTCACCTGTGTAGTCCTCTTCGTCCTCAGGGCCCTCGGCCTGCGATGGTGACACGGCAGCCTTGGGGGGCTCCAGCTCCGGGGCTGAGAGCTCCAGCATCCGCGAGCGGGACTGATGGGCGCTGAAGGTGTGGTACGGGTGCTCGGCTGTGCCGTACAAAATGAGGCTCCATTCTTTCAACTTCCCTGGAAGACACCAAACCCGGTTACCTGCAAGAGCTCCCCGGCGCGTGCAAAGACCTCTGCCACCCACAGTAAGAAGTGTCAGGAGCTGCTGGCTCTTCCTCCCAGAGCTGGGTTCTGGTCCACTGCCTGCACTTCCTGGTTACCTGTTCACCAGGTGTGCGCGCCTACTGCCCAGGGCCACGGCGTTTTCCCCAGAAGTCTCCTTCCTGCAAGCTGGTGCTCCTGAAGCGCCTACGCTTCCTGTGTGCACCCCTCCCCCAGTCACTCAATGTGATAACCAGGCCGCACCAAGGAGCCCTGCGGGTGGCTCCTGCACCTTGGGCTCTACCTGTGCAGCCAGCCCAGGGCTGCTCAGACCCAGCTGTCCACAGGCTGGGTGCAGGGCCAACATCCTTGTGAGCAGCAGGGTAAACGGCACACGTCAGGCTCTGCGGGTGAGGACAGCACCTGGTGGAGAGCACCCAGTCTGTGCTGGGGTGGCAGGGACCCCGCCCCACTGGCTGCTTCCATGTGGGAACAAAGCCCACGCAGCTAGGTCTTCTCAGGATAAGAAGTGGGAATCCTGGCCTGCAGTTTCCAGACGAATTCTGGATGCCTAGAACACTGAGGTGCATCTGAGCGCTGGCTCACTTGCAGGCCACTGCTTTGGGGTTCCCTTCCCTAGTGTAGCGTCCTGGGCACTCAGCAAGGTGACTGTTCAGGAACCATTCCTGCGCAGATGGCACCACGGTCCTAGGACACAGTGACAGGACCCACAGCCGCCCAGCCTCGCAGGGTTTGTCTGCATCTGCATCGGCCCAACACGATACACACTCAGCCCTGTGCAGACCCCTCAGTGAGCCCGCAGGAATGACGGCTGCACCAGCTGGGGACGGGGTCTGTGTCGCTTCCTCATTCTGTCATCAGGTGTCTTGGCACCAGGATGCTTTAGGCAAGAAAAGCGCCGCTCTGACTCTTTGCTAACGGGTGTGCTTTCACGGTCACCTCTCGCTCATACTAACGACTCCACACTTTGTTCTGAACTGCAAGCCATTCGCTTGCCTGAAAACTGTTTCTGCATCGTGGGCAGCTCTGCCCGGACAACTTCACTTTCTGCTCCAATTCTTGGGCTCATCTGAGACTCCACATCCCAGAACAGAGGGCACCGGCTTGACCACATCCCACAAGCCTGTGGGCTCTCACCCCTAAGACCCAGAGTGGGCGGGATTCAGGCAGGACTGGCTCTGCATCTCACCAAGCCAGACTGTTGCAAATGGTGCTGCTGCAAACGGTGCTGGACTTGACCCAGTTACACAACGTAGCACAGAGCACCACTGCTTTGCTTTCACCATCCCCCTCGCCAACGACGGTACCAGGTCCCCAAAGCTTGCAACCGTCCGGAAGTGTCTCCCAATGTTAATGTCCTCGAAACTCAAACCCCAAATTCAAACGCTGATGGCACTTGGAGGCAGAGCCTTTGGGAAGGGATTAGGATTCAATGAGGTCACAGGGTGGGGCCCCTGTGACGGCATGAGGGGCTGTGAACCGAGAGGAGAGACCTGAGCTCGCAGGCCTGCCCCTCTCACCTCGTGACGGCCCCGCCCTGCTGGGGTGCAGACTGGGACCAGACTGGGGCCCTGCTCTTAGTGTGACAGCCAAACTGCTCCTACAAGTCACCCACGGACATCCCAAGTCGGGCCCTGTTTGCCACAGCCTCTCCTGGTAGACGAAGTCCTCCCCCAACGTGGGAAACACCTTCCTGGGCGGATGGCCTCCTAGCCTGCTTCCATTACACACACAGTGCTCATGTCTCCAACACGTTTCCACACACAGCTTCTCTGGACATCTGACAATGGCAGGATGAGGAGTGCTTTGCAGGCACACGTGTGGAAGACACAGTCCCTCGGGGGGAGCCTTCTTCCAGCCCCAGCTCCTCGGGATCCAATTTCAGCTGCATTTCAAAGCCACCACAGAATCTGGGCATGGAAATACCGAGTGATGAACTGTGATTAAGGCGGGGGTATAATGACTGCAGGACAGGGACCAGAGGCTCTGCAAACTGTCATTTGAGCTGAAATTTATTTCACCCCTGTGGAATGTCTCCACGAACACCCACAAAGGCCCGGTCACTGGAATTAGCTTCTTATTTTTAGATATAGCTTTGGGAAGACAAATAACAGGCACCACTCCAACCTCAGCATCAATGCTATGTCCTGTATGGAGGGACATACAGAATTCCCACGAGACTCACAGCAGGGTGGCCTTGGAAAGGACATGCTTGACAGTTGCCTGGCAGAGAGACAAAAAGACAGAGACAGAGAAACGTCCACCTGTTGGCTCATTCCCCACATGCCCACAACAGCCAGGGCTGGGTGAGGCTGAATTCAGGGGCCTGGAACTCCATCTAGGTCTTCCAGAGGCTCAAGCACTCGGGCCATCGTCTGCTGCCTCCCACGCATGTTAGCATAAAGTTGGACTGGAAGCAGAGCAGCCAGGACTGGAACCAGCACTCCCATACGGGATGTGGGCATCTCAAGTGATAGCATAACCTCGGTGCCACAACATCCACCCTTGTTTTTTGTTTTGTTTTGCTTATTTATTTATTTGAAAGTGAGAGTGAGAGTGAGAGTGAGAGAGAATGAGAATGAGAATGAGAATGAGAATGAGAATGAGAATGAGAATGAGAGAGAGAGAGAGAGATCTTCCATCTGGTGGCTCACTTTCCAGCTTGCTACCATGGCCCGGGCTGGGCCAGACCAGGCTGAAGCCAGGAGCTGGGAGCTTCATCCAGGCCTCCCACATGGGTGTGGCAGGGGCCCAAGCCCTTGGGCCATCCTCAGTTGCTTTCTGAGGTGTATTAGCAGGGAGCAGCCAGGACACAAATGGGATGCCAGTGTCACACAGGCAATGGCTTTACCGGCTACACCACAGCACTGGCCCCTACCCTGGTTGTTTTTCATTCCACAAGCATGTATTACTCACATATATAAACTTAAAGATATTTGATTGGCTGGCGCCACGGCTCACTAGCCTAATCCTCTGCCTGCGGCACCAGTACTCTGAGTTCTAGCCTCGGTTGGGGCGCCGGTTCTGTCTCAGTTGCTCCTCTTCCAGTCCCATTCTCTGCTGTGGCCCGGGAAGGCAGTGGAGGTTGGCCCAAATCCTTGGGCCCTGCACCTGCATAGGAAACCAGGAGGAAGCACCTGGCTCCTGGCTTTGGATCGGCGCTGCATGCCAGCCGTAGCAGCCATTTGTGGGTGAACCAACGGAAGGAAGACCTTTCCCTCTATCTCTCTCTCTCTCTCTCACTAACTCTGTCAAAAATAATTAAATAAATAAATGAAAGAAAAAAATATATTTGATTTTGGATATCCATGAACAAAGTAGTTATGGAGTCAGAGAAAAAAACTTTTAAAAGCAGTGGGATGCAGATCTTTTGCTTAATGTTGCAGAATAAGTGATGTCCACGGATGGCTCCAATCCTGATGTGTAAGAGAGAATGCAACAAAGGTTCTGCCCACAGCCCTGGGGCCCCTGGGAGCTGTTTCTTGTGTGTTTTCCCACAGCTGTTTTACTCTTATCCAAGGGCCCCTGTGCCCCTGGATTTTCTTTTCTTTTCTTTTCTTTTCTTTTCTTTTCTTTTTTTTTTTTTTTTTTTTTTTTGACAGGCAGAGTGGACAGTGAGAGAGAGAGAGAAAGGTCTTCCTTTTCCGTTGGTTCACCCTCCAATGGCCGCTGTGGCCGGCACACTGCGCTAATCTGAAGCCAGGAGCCAGGTGCTTTTCCTGTTCTCCCATGCGGGGGCAGGGCCCAAGGACTTGGGCCATCCTCCACTGCCTTCCCGGGCCACAGCAGAGAGCTGGACTGGAAGAGGAGTAGCTGGGACAGAATCCGGTGCCCCCACCAGGACTAGAACCCGGGGTGCCGGCGCCGCAGGCGGAGGATTAGCCTAGTGAGCCGTGGTGCCGGCCGCCCCTGGTGGTGGCTTTCTCCTGCTGCGGGGGAGAAAACACTCTCTCCTGACGGGCACTCGGGGTGCTGCACGATTATGTTCTGCGATCACAAAAACTGCCACCATGGAGCCTGCGCTGCAAACTCGGCCACACAAGGAGGGACTTGGTGACGGCCACAGAGCGAGGGCCGGGGCAGCACGTGTGAATCCTGGCCCCACAGCCGACCTAGCTGTGACCCTTCGGTCTCTGCATCTATAAAGCAAGAGTGACAGGGCCAGCCAGCCCACCGAGCCGACGGGGAGACAGCACCGGCACAGCGCTGGGCACACGGGGGCTGCCCCCACCCGCGTTCCAGGATCAGGTCCTTCCCACGCTCAAGCCTGCCCATCTACAGGCAGCCAGGACTGGGGCTGGGACTGACAGCTCAGGCTAGTTTTGTATTTCTCCGATCATGCGAGAAGCTAAGCATCATTCCATGTGAATTAGAGCTGGATACCCTTCTAATGAAATGAAACATGAAGCCATTTATAAACTTGGAGATTTACCAAAAGTATTGGCTGGGAATAAGTAATGAGTTGCTAGAGACACTGAGAAGCACGCTTTCGCTGTGTTCGTAGGAGGGCGATACGGCTGGGATGAGGAGGTGTTTTGTCCAAACCTGGCTTATGTCTTTGCTCCTCACCACCTGCAAGATATTCTCGAGAACCTCCAGGGGCAGGCCAGTGCTGAGGGGGAGGGTAGGCAGGTGCCGAGTGGGGGAGGGGGGTAGGCAGGTGCCGGCTGAGGGGAGGGAGTGGGCAGGTGCTAGACTGCCTGCCTTCATGAAACACCTTCCAGTGAAGCCATCAATTTGAAATGAGACTCTGCGTTAAGTCACTCTTTCTCTAGTGATAAAGAAAAGAAACATTATTAAATACTGGAACGTGAAAAGAAGAAAATGGAAGTCCCCCAGAGTTCCGTGGGTGGTTCCCCAGGCACGTGCGTCACCGTGCCCCACCCCGAGTGTGAGGTCACACGCAGCCCATTGGAAGCTGCCTCACTTTTCCAGCTCATGTTTTCCCTGCCTGC